GAGGATAGAGGTCAGAGGATAGAGGACAGAGGATAGAGGACAGAGGACAGAGGTCAGAGGACAGAGGATAGAGGACAGAGGATAGAGGACAGAGGATAGAGGACAGAGGACAGAGGATAGAGGACAGAGGATAGAGGTCAGAGGTCGGAGGACAGAGGTCAGAGGACAGAGGATAGAAGATAGAGGTCAGAGGATAGAGGACAGAAGATAGAGGACAGAGGATAGAGGTCAGAGGACAGAGGTCAGAGGACAGAGGATAGAGGACAGAGGATAGAGGTTAGTGGACAGAGGTCAGAGGACAGAGGTCAGAGGATAGAGGACAGAGGATAGAGGACAGAGGACAGAGGATAGAGGACAGAGGTCAGAGGACAGAGGATAGAGGACAGAGGATAGAGGACAGAGGTCAGAGGACAGAGGATAGAGGACAGAGGATAGAGGTCAGAGGACGACTGATACTGACCGATGTCTGTGTTCTTCATTCTTTATGAACTTCACTCAGAAATGTTATTTATTTTATTGACATCTTACATTTGTTTCCAGTGAGATATTAATGACTTGATATAGAAATGTAATGTTGTAAACATTAGTGTTTTGTTATATCTAAATTATAACTTCTAATTCTGTTCTGAATTTAATTTGTTTTTAAAATCCCATATATCTTTTTAAAAACAATGATTTCGTCATGAATGAGAACCGAGTACTGATAAGAGTCGCTTCCAGTTGTACTAAAATCCTGAAATTGATTCTCCCCACCTGTAGGCCACCGTAGTTCTCTGAACACCGTATGATATTCCTAACTCTAAAACCGCTGAGACCTCTTGTCGTTCCCTCCGTGACTCCAGCTGGTACCGGGAGGACTTCAGCCGCAGAGAGGCCCAGGAGACGCTGCTGACACAGCCTGAGGGGGCCTTCCTCGTGCGGGGGAGTGGAAACACAGCTACGGGGGACTTCTCCATCTCAGTCAGGTGCGTTCAGTGTGTCTCCGTACATGCAGAACACTTTATGGTTCCGTACATGCAGAACACTTTATGGTTCCGTACATGCAGAACACTTTATGGTTCCGTACATGCAGAACACTTTATGGTTCCATACATGCAGAACACTTTATGGTTCCATACATGCAGAACACTTTATGGTTCCGTACATGCAGAACACTTTATGG